ACATTAAGGGAAGCTTAGCAAATTCTGTCTCATAGAATGCCCAGCCCAGAGCATAGAACACAAGATAAACATTACATTATGTATTTCCTTCCTAATACAAGATTCCAATCAGAAAAGGACGATTAAGCTAAGGGTAAAGCTAAGTTCAAAAATGAAACCAGCTGCCTAAATGTATAAAAAATATATATATAGATGGTAACATCGATCATTCACGTGGTTGAAAGTGGGGGAAATGGTTCATTTCATTACTTTAGAAAATTCAAGAGCTGTGTGCCTCACTGACAATAAATACATTCAATTGAACTGCTAATCCCATGCTGTGGAAATTCTGTATACGACATACCTTGCATTTTGAGCCTTTTATGACACTCTGTAGTTCATGCCTGAATAATGTGTGGCTAGCACACAGAGCATCAGAAAGAATAATACTCGGTAGTAGCAGCTTCCAAACCTATAAAGCCGTCAAGGTTTCTTCAGTGTCATCAGAAATGGACAGTACAGGTGTGCTTCATAAAATCAAGGCCAGATTGTAAAGTTCTCAATGAAGTTTCATTTTCTTCTTTAGTAATTCTAATATCACTGAGTTCCACTGGGCTTCTCCCATCTTACTTGTTTTGATTTTTCAGTCTTGCTCTTTTGATATGCTGCAGGGAACTGATTCACCCCATTCTTTGATTGGCTTGCCAGCCACACACATTGGCAGAATTCATTTGTAGTGGTTGCTGCTCCTGAACCTTCAAAATGAAAAATCTGCCCAAGTATTTTCACTATTTCATAGGGAACCGAAAAAGAATGTTATTGTCTGTTTCTCTCTGGCTCTTTTCCTAAGAATCTGATCTGTGTGTGTTGCCAAGTGGACAAGCATTTATTAAGCATTTACTATGTGCCAGGCACTGCGCTAAACTGGGGATAGCAAAAAAGACCAAAAAATGGTCTTTGCTCTCAAGAAGCTCACAGTCATAGTGTGTGCAGGTATGCATAATGTGTATGTGTTTATAATATGTGTATATATCTGTGTGTATATATTCATGTGCATATCTACTTTATATGTATTTATATTGTCAGAAACATGATATACATATATTTATTTAATATGACATACATATATCTACTTAAAATATCAGTTGTTGTCCTTCATTCTCGAAGAGGACCAAAATGATATTACTATGCTAGAGTCAAGTTTCAGTGTGTCTTACTGTGGCTGATTGGACCAACACAAACTCAGAATGCTCTACCACAGGTCAGGCACAAATAGTATGTAGTTAGAAAAAAAAAAATATATATATATATATATATATACACATCTTTATGTATTTAGAAACTTGACTGAAATCCAATGAGAATTCCTGCTAATTCTCAACATTCTGAATTTGAATCCTATATGCCCCTCAATAAAGGCTTATTGAATTGAATTGAAGCTTACAAATATATCTTACAGACAAGGTGCCTAACTTGGCATACAGAAGAGGTTAGAAATGCACATTCCTAAACTGTCATTCATTATCTGTAATTCATTTCAACAACTGTTTATAGAGCAACTATTATTATATGCTAGTCATTGGGGATAGCACAAAGACGAATAATGCAGGTCAGCCTCCAGTCTCATAGGAAGAAAGCATGCATACAAATGCCTATGACACAAAGTAGAAGCATGAAAGTGGAATGAGAGAGGTATAGGCTAGGAGAAATCAGATTATTACTGATTGGAATAAGAAAGGGCTTCAGGGAAAGTTTCATGTAAGAATGACTGAGGTGGGTCTTAAAAGATAAGTGGGAATTGAGCAGGTAGGGTTGCAGAATGTGGTAGGTAGGGCATTCCATTTAAAGGTGAAGAGGTTGAGTGAGCAAAAAGCCTGAGGCTATTGTGTATGTGGTATGTTTAGTTTAGGGAAAGGGAAAGGGAATAAGCATTTATATAGCACCTACTGTGTGCGAAGCACTGGGTTAGGTGCTTTACAAATATTATCTCATTTGTTCTTATCATCCTCATTTCACAGTTGAGGAAACTGAAGCAAACAGAGGTAAAGTGACTAGCCAGTGTCACACAGCTGGTAAATGTCTCAGGCTGGATTTGAATTCAAGGCTTTCTGACTACAGTTTCAGCACTCTATTGACTGAGCCCCCAAGCAGGAAAAAGCAACGTGGAATAGTGGTTAGAGAGGTAGCCTTGGAATCAGGAAGAGCTGGGTTTCAAGTCTTACGTTTGCCATAGACTGTTTATGTGACCCTAGGCAAGTTACTTAAACTCTCAATGCCCAAGGCATTTATAAGACCATCATCTGTGGAGTAGGTGCAAATCTACATTGGTAGGGGCTTTCCTTACTCTCATTATGCCAGTGAAATCACAAGCTTAGTCCCCCCAAAACACTGATATCAATACTGACATAGGTATATTTGAAGGGAAGTATCATAATAACTTACTTTTACACAGCTCTTTGAGGTTAAAAGTGTTTTCCTGATAACTACCAAGTGAAGTCAATAATGTAAGTATAATAATCCCTATTTTACCGATGGAGAAATTGAGGTAAAAATTGTATAATTTAACTCTTGGTTCTTTCGTCCTTTCATTTCTTTTGAGACAAAAGGACTGAGAATAGAATTAAGACTTCACAGCCATTTCCTTTAGCCAAATGGGAGGATGAGGTCGAAATTTACTTTTTTTTTAAAGTATATAGAGCCCTGATTACTGAGTACAGCAAATCAGTCCACAGCTTGGTCGACTTTGTTTACTACATAGCCATGAATTAAAAAGATAATGAAAATAAATTTTAAAATATTTTTCAGGAGTATTCTTTAAAGTTAATTTATAGCAGCGAAACCTCTTATTTTCTATGCATAAGGTGTGCTTTTTTTCCCCCTTGTCTAAAACAGGTTTGCCAGCTTCCACTTTAAAATTATTACTGTGATTCCAGTCAACTGTTTAGACTTCTGCAGATATGCTTTCTGGAGACTCCAGCTGGCAGTAAGCAATGATTCCAAATACTTTCAAAAATATGTCATGGGGAAGGGTGGGGAAGAAAGAACAAAAAAATAAAGTCTACATATTTTCAGTTTGACTTTTAAAAACATGGAGATTTATAGCCTACTATATATTTTCATCACAATCCCTTTCAAGGTCCTTCACATCTGGATTTCAGTATCATTTTTGCCATTTAACTAGCTGTATGACCTTGAGCAAATTGCTTCTCTTATTTAAACCTCAGTTTTCCCATCTGTAAAATAGGGGTACTAATGCTTGCACTACCTATCTCACAGGTTTGTTTGGAGGAAAGTTCTTTGTGAACTTTGAAGTGTTATGGAAATTCAATTATCATTATTTCTTTTTACAAATAACAAATGTCCCTTAAAATGAAAAGGTCCAGCGTTCTCAGGATAGCAAGGAACACATAAAATTTAAATATCAATGTATTTTTCTGTCAATGCTACATACATATACATACATACATACACTCACATACACTACATATATATGCTATAAAAATACATTGTTTTACATGTAGGCATAAGAAGCAAGGACAAAATCAACTAATCCTTCTTAATAAATATTAATATAATTATTAAAATTCAGAATTTTATGTCATCACCTACAATGCCAAAGAAAAACCATCAAAGCTTCTTCTCAGAATGGACCATCCTTGGCTGCAGGCCAACTCCAGAATTCAGGTGATTATGAATGGGGATTTGGAAGGAGTTGAGAAGAAGGAATAAATCTGAGAGACAGCTCTGGGCTTCTTCCCTTCACTGGTCCATTGTCAGCTTTAAATTTTGTAATTCTAGTGTTTGTCAGCTTCCCTTTTTCCAGTAAATGTACCACTATTTGAGTCAATAAAGAAAATCAAACTGCATTATCAGGCTTTTACATCTTCATTTCCTATGCAAAATAATGTTTGCTTATGCCATATGTGGAGGTGGTGGGGATTTCTAACACAAACAGCCACCAATGAATTATATATTATACCTTGACTACAAACCAGTGATGTTGGCCTGTAACTCTTTAGTCATTCTCAACACATCGACGCATGTTGGTGCATGTTACCTAGGCTGTTCATGCTTCAAAGCATTGAGCAAGAAGGCAAAATAAAAAGCGTAACTGCCAATGACAAGCATTCAGGAAATCTGTAACTTCCCAAATTAATGTGGGTAAAGAAAAAACACAGAGAAATCGAAAGTAAAGGGCAGGGAGTATATATTCTTTCTGCTGTAAGTCACATGCTATTCTAGTGTCTACATACTAAGATAAGTTGTACTCTCTTATCTCAAAGGCTCCAGTGTCAAAGAAGTTAGGCTCCCTACTGCTCGATGTGGTCTGGGGGCTCCCATGAACCATCCAGTGTGTTTGTGTTAGCTTGATTTGGAAGCCCTGACTGATGGAGGCAATGTTAGCAGCCATCCCTTGGGACCCTCATGAGAATAAGCCACGTTTCTCCTGTGGCTAGCCTACTTAGAGAGTATTTTTCAGTAAAATATTACAGCTATTTTAAAGAGTCTAGAGAGAATGTCCGATCCCAAATAATTTCTCATTTAATTCTAATTCTGATAAACCTACAGTCAGAAACGGAACTAGAAAGCCAACGTGGTACGAAAGAGAAGAAACTGGAAGAATAATAGTGAATAGGAGCTCACCGAGAATTATAACAACTCCAAACAAATCCTTCAAGAGAAGGAACTCGCATCAAAAAATGAAGAGACCCTTTGAGTCTTTTGCAAAAAAGAAAAGAATAAGAAAGATTTTCTACTCAATGAGTAAATGTATTCTATCTGTAAATAATATACATGCTTGCCAGTTATATATATATATAAAACATATTTTGTACAAAAAATCCACATAAAAATCCTAACATGTAGCATTTTATATTACATAGCCACGAATTATATCAGATTAACATTATGAGTTAATAGAAATTCCTTCATCTTCCTTTTATCTTTAAAGAGAAGTAATACATAGCCCACCTGAAACCTCCCATGTGTTAACATTTGCTACATATAGTATAATTCCAAACCTTTGAAGTCTTCAATAGTATAGTGGGGATCCATCAGTACAATCACCAGCTCATTAATATTTCCAAATCTTCAAGTGCACAGCCTTTCCTTACTAGATGGTTGGCATACTAGAGGACTGAAACCAATCCCTCCAAGAGCAGCTTCAGATTCTGGCTCTTTTCCCACTATTTTGTGGGCTGACTTGGAAGTGAGGGAGTGGTGCCATCACAGAGGGTGTGCCACAGCTACAGCCACAGCCAACTCAGGAAGAATGATGATTTTCCTGTACCATTCTAGTTCACTGCTCAGCTCTACTGTAGCTGAGCATCTCTGGTCTCAAATATTTGCCTCCTCCTTTGCTCCACACCCCTGCAAAATTCTCTAGCCACTTGAGAGCAAAAACGAACCTCTCTTACTGTTGTGACATTCCAAATGCTATAATTTCTCAGTAAGTGGTTTCTAAAAGATGCAAAAATATATTTTCCCAACTCTCTTCTCCATAAATTGGAGTCCAGATTTTGGACAGTGGTAGTTAGCTGTAATTCAAACACACATAGGACAAAGAGAAATTGCTTTATTTTCCCAAGTCTTCTGTCTCATTTTCTCCTCTCAATAAGCTACTGTCTCAACCAGATGGGCATTAATGCTTTTAAATTAAAAACTCATTTTGGAACAGCTGCCTTTGACTACTATCAGTTTGGCATTGTTCAACCTGGCTTTGGAGACTTAGTTTTCTGACAAAGTGTTAACATCAGAGTGTTAGACAAGGCACTAACTTTGAGCCTTTGTATATTAGTCACATGGCTGCCTAAAAATAATTCCCTCATCAGGAAAGTCTCAGGAAAAAGGGAATATTTTCCTTCTGTGAGTAATGGTCTGCTTTTAGTTCCCCCACCCCACAACTCCATGCTTCCCCCTAGCTACTATCAAATATATATGAAGACTGTAGATGTAAGCAGCACTCGAGAAGGAAAAGGTACAACAGGCTCAAAAGTAGACCCACTGGCCAATGGGTGGGTGAGGATTGACAAACTTTTCTAATTGCAAAATGGCTAATCTCCTTGATAATGCCCATTAAAATTGCCCATTTGAAGACTCTAGTAAAATATTAGGCCCCATCAACAGACTCAAGAAAGACTATCCAATCACTGCTGTGTTTTGACAATTGGAAAAACAATCAAGAAACCAAGTTCGTTCTGGATCCCCACCAACTCTTGTTCTATGACTTGTAATAATTGGTCTGTGGTGCTGCCTAAATTTGTGGGCTCCCACTGGGCTTTCGCACTGTGGTCCAGGACACAGCCTGGAAACTTTGTGCTACTGATAACTTCCTTCTGACTTGGCTCAAGTATCAGGCGCCAGGCAAAGAATCACAAATGGGTTACATACCAATAAAATGCTTGGCATTCATTTGGCTGCCAACAAGACAGTGGAATTTATTAACATCTCCTCATTAAGATGTGTGTCTAATTTTCTCCTTGTCATGTTGTTTCCATAGTTCGACTTTTTCCCCTTCTGAAGTATTACTTAGGAAGTCAGCACCATCGGATTTTTACCAAGGGGATGGAAAGAAAGACACCAAGATGGCTTTTACAGCTGTTTCTCATTCTCATCAATTCACATTGAGAAATGTTCTGAATCTGTTTTACTCTTCTCTCTATTCTCCCTTTATTTTCTCTAGTTGGTGCCGAGGGGGCAGAGAAATCTTAAGTAGCTGTTATTTTTTCAGAGGGTCAATTAGTGGTCTTGGAGATATTTAAGAACAAATGGTCTTTTGATAGTTTGTTAAGGTATGATTCCCATTTTTATCAAGGAGGCAGTATGTTATAATAGAGAGTGTTGGTCTTGGAGCTGGGAAGAACTGCATTCAAATTCCTCCTCTGACACTAACTGTGTGACCCTGGGCAAATCATTTAGCCTCTATTGTCCTCAAGGAACTAACAGAGATTTAATTACTATCAAAGGATACTGTGTTGATAGAAGGGATTCTGATGAAATCACAGAATTTCTTAAGGTTTATTGTTGAACTTTAATTTTTAAAAATATTTAAAAATATTTTTTAAAATATTAATCCATATAGCATGCCTTTTCTAGAATCCATTTTTACCTTAATTAGCCTTTGTTATGTGCCAATGAGTGTGTTTAATGGGGGTGAGATATCCATTGTTTTTAAAAAAAAAGCTAGTGGAAAGATCATTGGTTTTGGTATTAAATCTCACACTTGTTCATTGTGTGACTATGAGCAAGTCACTTAACCTCTCTCAGATTGTTTCCTCAACTATAAAATGGGGGTAATAAAGATTGCACTACCTGTCTTAGAGGGCTGTTGTGAAGAAAGTGCATCTTAAACTCCACAATGATACATGTATGAGCTATAATTATTGATCAAATTGCAAATGGTACTTTTACAATGTCAAAAATAGTAAAACAGTCAAGTCCATTTTGCTTCAATGTGTATACATTACTTTATGTCAAAGATGTATTCTGGAAATACTACATAAATTGAACTTTTCCAAATCTAATCTTAGAAGTAATTTTGTAAAACTAATCACCCCTAAGATATGTTTTGTAAATGTGAATTTTGTATTTGGATTTGTTTCATAGGACGGTGTGATCCATACTCTGAATGTACCTATTACAGCTTAACAATATTTTGTTTTATAATTAAAATGACCATAACCAACTTCATTATGTTCTTAGCATCATTTACTTTATTTTACTTTGAATTAAGATTCCTGTAGATTCAGCTTTAATGGCCTTTTTTTTTTTTTTTATAAATACAGACAATCTACTTACTGGAAAGAATATTACTTGACTAGTACCACAAAGTGATTTGCTGGAGTGATCACTCTTTAAGAGTTAACAGGACTTTGTAATATTCTGAATCTTTAAAAAATCAGGCACTCGATGATGAGCTTTATCTAGGAATGGTCCAACTATTTCTACACAATAATGCCTAATCATTTATTTTAGTTCAAAATAGGTTCTTATGAAATGATATTGCTTCAAAGTTCTACTTGGCAATAGTTCTATGCTAAAGAATAAGTTAATGACAGTTATTTAATAGGAAGAAAGGGAAAAATATTCATGTACCAGGAACTGTGCTAAATACTTTAGAAATATTATGAAAGCCCTGGGAAGGTGGTGCTGTTATTATCCACATTTTATGGTTGAGGAAACTGAGGCAGATAGAGAATAAGTGACTTAATCAAGGTCAAGTAATTAATGAATTACCTCCAATATCTAGTATTGTGGTCAGAATTTATCCCATTCTCAACTCAATATCTGCATAAACCATGGCCCAACTTAATAGCTCTTTGTTAGCCAAAGTTATTTCCCTAAAATATTGGTAAGAGTCTTACAGCAGTCTGGGATAAATGTCTTGAATATGAAAACAAAGTAAGTTAGGACTCTGCCAAATTGTTCTCAGGTTGTCTATTGAAGAGACAGAACAGTAAGGGGACATTCCCACATATGTTAAAGTCAAAAGAGTAAAAATACATACAGAGAGTCCTGTTCTCATGAGATCCTCCATGCTTATAATTCTTCTAAATGATTTTAAAAGTTTAAATATATTGTTAAGTCTCATTGCACCCTAACAGACTATGTAGAAAAGGGAGATTGGTAGGTGGTCATATTTTCCCACTCCCATGCTCCATTGCTATAAAGGAGTTGGCTTACAGACTTGATACTCCTATTCTACAAGATACAGAATGAAATCACTCCTTGAGTTCCTGAGAAAGTAAGAGTGAAAATTGTATGAAAATAGACATTCTTTGAGAAAAAGTCTCCATTAATGGGACTAATTATTATTATTACTGTTACTATTACAAACTACCTGGACTACCACAATAGCCTGCCAACAAGTATTTCTTCCACTAGCTTCTCCATCATCCAAATGAACATTTATACTGTTGTCAGAATCATCCTCCTCCTCCTCCTCCTCATCATCATCATCATAGCTGACATTGCTATACCACTTTCCTAAATGGCCTCTTGTGCACAGCAATGCACATATATTATATTATATGTCTGGAATGTTGAGGATTTGGTTAGAGGTTGTTTAAAACAAAACAAAATGATGAATGTTAATAGCATATATAGATAAATATATAGATATCTATACTCATAGATATCTACCTATACACATACATGTATCACTTGATATGACATCATTTCATGTAATCCTTGCAACAACCTTATAAATGCTTATTGACTGAATTATGTGATACATACTACAGGTATGATGCCCATTTTACAGATGAGGAAAGTATGATTTAGGAAAGTTAAATGAAACTGTTTTGGAATTATGGAGCTACTAAGTATTGAAGGTGAGGTTTGAGCTCAGATCTTTCCTGGGTTCAAAATCCAACACTTTTCCCACTACATTATGTTGCTTCAATAGAAGGAGGGGCTCTCACAATGAATATGACACTCTGAAGATGATATTACTAAAACCACAAGAATATATACTTCATTATATACCCCAGTATAGTGCAACGTAATGCGGTAGAAAGAATGGAATGGAGTGATTAGGCCACCTAAGTTATAAATGTTACTGATTGGCCAGATTGCTTTGGTTAAATCATGACAGCCTCTCTCTATCTCTATCTCTATGTTTGTTAAATAAGGATATGGATACTTGCCTTGTCTACTTCACAGCATTTTGGACCAAATAAAAGTACTTTAAAAAGTAGTATTTATAAAATATAAGACATCTATTCAGAGGCATAATGGGAACAAAACAGTGAATTTGGAATTAGGGTCCTTGGTGTTGAATTTTAGGTCTACTGAGTTACAAGTGGTGTGATGCCTCCAGGACTCAGTTTTTTCATCTATAAAATTAAGTGTTCGGACTAGATGATAGTATATCCTTTTCATCTATAAACTTATGAAACCATCACTGTTTCTTGACTAGGTTAGGAGCTGTATTCACTTCCTAGTTAGTTATTCAATGACTCATATGTTTTAGCAAGAAATGGGGTAATGTAGACCCTACAATAGTGAGGGTAATCAAGATTTTGTTTTTTCAACATTCTTCTTTTTCAAAATGTGATGACTTGAAATGATTCTAGACTCCAGGGAACCTGA